GAGTAGAAGCCGTTTTTCCGGTTAAGACTTAATCCTCTCCCTCTCCCCCCCGCGTTGGAATTTCGAAAAATCCTTTCTTAGTGTGCGTTTCCATGACGTACCCTAACTGTGTACCAAATTTCACCTCTTTAGGTTAAGCGGTTTGCTCTGGGCGATGATGAATCAGTGAATGAATGAATGAGTCAGTCAGGACAAGCAATTTTATATATTTAGATTTTTCGGATATAATATTTTCTAACGTTAACTCTAAGAAACTGTACCATTCCGAATATCAAACGGTAATTTGCCAACCGATCGAATTTCGGAAAAACGAAATATTTAAACTCGGCACCCATCGAAGTTGCTAACCTTAACGTCTAAAAGACTTCGTACGACTTGTTCAAATAAAAAAAATCTTAGAAGCAATTATTTTTACACGCGATAATAATTTTTTTGAATTTTGTCAACGTATTGTATAAACTATGCGGGAAGCGCGTTGTCGCGTGGAAAAATTGTAGACCTATAAATTGCACCGTCGTCACCTATCTATCTGTCTCGAGAAAGGAGTTAGATAAATGAAAGTAGAGACCGGATTAACTATATAAGGACTTCCGTGGAAGGAAAGTAACGTTACTTGGATCGAAAATTTTCCCCGAACGGAGAAAGCGATAGAGTCGAGCCGGTTATCTAACAGAAAAAGTATGATGTACCGCGCAAGGGCAAAACGCTACTACACTCCACGCAGGCGAGTGCTACGCGCTATCTGTCGCAGTAATGGCATCTATTTCGCGGTATATCGTCGTCGCAGTAATTCGGCGAATATAATACGAATTCTTTTTTTGTAAGAATTATATTTAACTATTCTGTTAGTTTTTTTGCTAATAGATGACGCTACGCGTAACTCAGAAAATCTAATGTAAATAAAAATTAATTGATTCGTAGATATTTTGAAGTGAAATTTACAGTACGGTACGACACTAAGTTGGAAGTTGGAAGTTTTTGAACGTAACTGCCGAGTTTCGTAGTAATTGGTCGAAAGTCCTAAGAGTGTATACATACTAGTGTTGCAACGAATAGCCGAATATTCGGCCAAACTATTCGGCTCGATTAACGCACTTACGAAAATTGGCGCGCAAACCGCATTGTGGCGAGGACCCCGCTCTCTATTGGCCCGCTGTCACTACGCTTCGCCAATCGCGTTAATTCTTGACAGTTGTAGCGGACAGACGTCATGGTAGCATCGTGGCGGTATGTGATAAATGATGATATCAAATGTGGATAACAACGAAATGACCTACGCGTGTAAATAACGGAAGAAGAACAGAGAAGCACCGCCAAGTGAAAATGTGAAAATAAATACGAAAGTATTGAGTAGATAACATAATCGAACGAGTCGAAGCAGCTTATTGGCGCGAAATTCGCGGCCGTCAATGCCAAACAATTGTTGTCATAGACTTGTAATGAAAGTCACTTACGGGACATTCCAATTTTCAACGCGAGTGTTGAGTGTTGAAGTCAACAATTTGACGTCATCAACGACGTTCCAACTCGAATACGAAGTGCTTAGTTCCCATAATTCCATTCTCAGCAAGATGGATTCCATTCAAATGTCTTACCAATTACCCACAATTCATTGGAAAGTAGCAGTCAACATATCTGTTGAGTGCTGAGTGTGTTGAGTCAGCGCTGACAACAGCGCTACCTCAACGTTGAAAAAAGGAACGAATTTTAACGAATGTTGAGATCAGCGCTGAGTCAGCGTTGAAAATTGGAATGTCCTGTTAGCGTGCACGGGCGAAAGCCTTGGACCGTTCGGGCTACCGAGCTGTCTCCAATCTGCGAAATCATAACTGACTTATATCGACGTCCTGTCTGTCTCTTTTCTCCGTTATCACCGGGCTACGAGTCACGTAATTGTAAAATGGGAAATCTACGACGGAAAAGTGACAAATCGAAAGTATCGTGAGAACGTATTATGATGTACGCGTAGGCGTACAGTACGTGGACTAGAGCGACGGAGGAAAGAGAAAGGGAAGCGCAAATATGAGCGCTTAAAAA